TGGGAAAACTCCCTGGGGAAGGGCTGGGGCTGCAGGAGAGCTTCCCTCTCGTCCCCAGAAGCAAAACAAAGACCCCTGGGCTTATATCAGTTAATGCAGGACTCCAGGAAGGAAAAGGGCCAAGAGTTTACAGGGAAGATGTCAGCAACTCAGACAAAGTTCAGGGAGACCCTCCCCTCCCAGGAAAGAGGCCAGAGAAGGACCTGGCGGAAGGCAAGGACTCTTCTCTTCTTCTGGCCCCGTGACCGGGCGACAGGACGCCCTCCTCCGAGTCTGTTGCCACACAGCAGGTGCTTCGCTGGGCCATCAGAAGGCGCCTGCGGGGACTCCAAGCGGCAGGCCGTCGTCCCAGGAGGGAAAGAGAGGCGCTTGCAGGAGGACACAGCGCCGGCAAGCCAAGGGTTAATTCCATGGAGACCAGCCAGCTGGAGGAAAATGGCTTTCCCCTTGCAAAGGCTGGGGGACAAGCGCCATTTGGGAGGGGTACAATCAGGTGCTCAGTACTTCTAGAGCGTTAACCTTGAGAAAGGAGGGGGGGAGCGAGGCCAGCTTTCCCATCAGGTTCAGCTCTATGGCAGGGGTGGGGTTAGCCTGTTGGCCACGGTGCCCTTCCTGCCTTGTTCTGAGAGGGCGGAGAAGGGCCGACAAGCTCGCCCCCCTCCCGAGAGGACAAACCCACAGGGGACGTGGGCTCCCCTCTTCTCAGAGGCAGGCAGGCAGGCAAGGGCCCTCTCCCTGGAACAGAAAAGCAGGGGGCAGCCGTTGCTGCTCAGAGCACCCCCCCCGCGCGCACACACACACACACCCCTGACACAATCGGATTAGACTCCTGGAATCTGGCACCTGGAATCCCACCGTGTAATTAATACTTGAGGGCAAGGCAGAATATCTACGCATAGGTTTACCGTCCAGCACCTCATGCAAAACCAAGCCAGGACGTTGCACAGAACAGTGTGGCTTTGCGTCTCTCTCATGCCAAAGTCGAGGGGCGCCAACCCCAGAAAAACACAAGGACGCTCTCACACCCAACCCCCCCCGCCCCGCCCAGCAGAGGCGCAGAGGCTTGCCCCGTTTCTCTTCCTCCGGGACTCACTGCCAGAGCGGCCTCCCCTCCACTCCCCACCTCAGCAGCAGCCCATCTGCCCTGGATTAAAATAAAGCAAGGTCAAGGCCTCCAGACAAGCTGCAGGGGGGACTGGGAAGGCCAGGGTGACCCTGGGCCCGCCGGGAGAGAGAGAGGGAAGCCCGCGGAGGAGCAAAGGCGGCTGGGGGGCAGCCTCCATGCCGGCCTCTGTTCCCATCTTATCTCTGTCGGCAGAGAGGGCTCCTCTCCGCCTTTTGGCTCAGGGAGGGGCCCCCTCTGGCCGAGAGGAAGGCTTCTCCCACGGCATCCCCCCCCCTTGGGTACTAATCCCTGGGCGTCTTTGCTGAGGGCAGCCGGGTCCCCCAGTTTCCTGGCTGAAACCCCATCCTGGGCACTGGGCAAGCCAAGGCTCCACGAACCCACAAACCCCTCTTTTTGCTGCCTGATCTCCCTCCCCGAGTGGGTGCCTCTTCCGAGTCCATCCGTCTCTCCTTCCCCCCCCCCCCCATGCCAAGCCCGTTGGGCCCCCGCAGGGTTTGCCTGGGGCCGGC